CACTGATGGAGTGTAAATCTGCTTGGTTTTGCTTTGGAACAAAAAGCTTTGTGTCAGTCATTGATTGGCTGATGCACAGTCGAGGTTATGAATTATCTATGAAGTTGGCTTTAAAAGAAACTTTGTTAGTTTGGGGTAAATGTCACTTGGTGCTTTAACTGTAATTGTTCCGTGTATCAGTTTAGTTTAAATACATTTAAAAAATTAAGCTATGCTGATGAAGATCAGGAAACCTGAACTGATTATTTCTTTCTAATCTTTCAATAAAGGGAGACTAGATTCAAGGACCAATGAACAGAGCTCTTGGGGGTTTTGTATTTCTTTGGGTTTATGGTGATGCCCTTCATCCTTGATACTTTTATATTATAAAATTAGTTTTAATACATGACAGCTGAATTTCTGCACATATATAATTCTCTCTGGATTGGAGTAAATTCAGATCCCATGCTGTTTTATTTTTACTACTATGAATGGTATTGAAGGAGTGGAGTTATTGGGGAGGGACACAAAGAGAGATGACAGAGGGAAAACTTAGGTAATGAGTTAAGTTTCATTTGAATAGGAAGAAGTGAAGTGATTAGATTAGTGGTTAGTTTCTTGCAGCTGGTAAGAGGGAGGAAGACAACTTCAGTAACTTCTGATATATTCTGCTCTCCCTTCCTCTCAAGTGTTACCTGTCTGGGTTAACTAATATAATAACTACTTACTTCTGTAGCAACCTAAAGCACAAGGTGCTTGTTGCTGAGGAAAGTTGTTTTGGCATTATGATTCCCTGTGGCTATAAGTGCCCCACTGTGCCCTAGTTATCAGGAACTGCTTCTGGGTTAAGCTTATTTGAAGGGAATTAGAACTTGTGCAGGGTTTGGTCATGTGGCGGATGCAATAGCTACACCCTTCTCTCTGATGCAAGCCACAGTACAAATGTTTCCCAACAGCTGATACTGACGTTTTTGAAGACCTCTTCAGGTCAAATGCACTGGATTTCATAAGAGATTAAAGTTACAAGCAGTTTTCAAAGGGAAATGAGGTGGCTGCTTGATTTGGGGTTGGCAAAATACTTTTTTTCCTTATTTCATAGAAGGGACAACCTGAGACTAGAGACTTATGGTAGCGGTTGGAATTGGGTTTGCTAGTTACTGTTGTATGAGCTGAAGCCTTTTAAATCATACACTACAGAAACTTTATCTTAAACTAGACCTTTCAAAATTCCAAATAGGTGGGAATTGCTCAGACAAGAACTTGCCTTTTAGGAAGTGAAATTTTAGAGATGACAGAAACTTATTTAACCAATGTCTTTATCCAGTAGGAGATTTCTTCCAGCAGATACATATTCAGTTTAAAGAGAATTAGATGCTGCGTAATGAACTTCCAAGCAAGAAGGTTATGATTAAACTACGCTGCTGAACTCTGAGTCTCTTGTAGTAAGAACCTTGCTAACCTAGTTGCTAGCCAAACTTTGCACTTTGTATAGTTTTAACGCACACATGCCCTGGATAATGCTGGATGGTTAAAACTGTCTTTAAAAAAAAACCTTCAGAATGCACTGCTCATAATGAATTGAGCCATTTGTTTGCTGTTGTGTAACATTTTGACAGTGTTTCCGAGAAAGGATTATAAAGTCTGCACCATAAGCCAATAGACTTACACTGAAAAGGATGTTAACTTTGTTTTGTTCACAGGAAGTAAAATGTTAAGTTTGTCTATAAACATTGTTCATAGTAGTAATTGCTTCTGAAAAAACCTTTCTGTGTCTGGTGATTTGATAAATGGGTCTATAATCTGAGAAAACAGTTTGCAGGAGTGATACTTTCATGTAAACAGCTTTATATAACACATAGTATGAAGTAAGGTCTATTACTTGAGATTTCCAGATTCTTTTGAAGTAGTTCACTCTGAAGAGGAAAGATTTACTTTTCCCATTAATTTAGGACTTTTTTAAATGTCCAGCTCACAAAGATCCAGTGTAAACTGCAATGTCGGGAGACCATTTCTATATCATGTTCCATGTAGTTTTGTTCCAGTTCCCATTTGCTGCCTTGTAGAGCTGTTATATTTGTTACAGGAGGGTGCCATGGGGCAATGTCAGCAGACAGCCTGGATTTGGAAAGCTGAATCTTCTACTGTCAGTTTGCTGCATCTGTCACTGGTGCAGTTTCCCAGTAGAAGAGGACTAGAGGGGAGGCTTTCCCTGCTGCTGCCCAGATGTTTTCCAGTTAAATGCCACCTGGTTTTACAGAAGAAAGTTGTCTCTAAATCTGTGCAGGGAAGTTACTGTAGTAACTGCTGCCCACTGTGTGTATTTTGCTTAAGATGATAGGAAGTGATCTTTAGCCTTGCCTTTTAGCAAAGCTGTATGACATCTTATGCCCCTGTTATAAGCATCATTGAGTTGAGCCTCAGTACTACATCACTAACTTATTTGAAAAGGCAGGCAGGGAGCTTTATTTTCGGAAATATGTTCTTAATTAGTATTTCTACCTTTTTTTTTTTTTCTTTAAGTCTGAGTAAGGCTTCTAAGTAGGAAAAATGTGGATTTCTTTTACCTGATATAGGTAAGGTTCTGGTTCTGGCTGTGCATGCCAGATAAATGACTGCTGTCCATCCCCTGGTCTGCTGGTTGAATGCCTGTGTGACCTTTCCCTAACCTGTGCTGGTCAAAAGAAGTTAACCTAGGAATGATCTACTGTACAAACTATTTCAATCTAATTTATTAATTTTTGGCTGAAATATGCTGCCAGGCAGCGCTGTTGATGAAACTCAGTCAGAGGGGGGATTGCACTCCTAAGCCATAGAAGAGAGGGTGCTGGTCATTCATACTGACAGGACTGTTGTGTATATGTGCATCTTAGTTATGGAACTATACTGTGTGTTCATACTCAGATTGCACCTTTATCTCCCTGATATCTTTCACGCTCCTGTAATAGAAATAGACTATTCAGGCCTGCTTTTTTGTTTCTCTCACTTCAAAAAGGGAAAGGGATCTCCTCTTAAGCTAGAGTGCTGATGGAGCTGACTTGTATGGATTTGGTTGTTATAAATTGTCTGTGTTATAAATTATGTGCTGTTGATAATTGACTAATGGATCAAACAGAATATATTTTTCATTTGAATGTAATTTCTGTTACAGCTTGAAAGTGTGAACAAAAGACTTTTGATCACATTTAATTTCATATTATTTAGTTACTAGCAAAATGTCTGTGGTGTTTACTCTGTAAGTACTGTATGGTACAGTTTCATTTTAAAAGAACTTCAATTTTGGCTAGACCTAATCTGACAAATGGCGTGGATGCTGTGCTTTCTAATGAATGTAAGGAAGCTGGCTTTTCTATCTGCCCACAGCTTTCTCTAGCTTTCAGGACTTACATCTACTGTCTTTTAAAAGGCCCCATATATTCTTCATCTTAACTTTCTGTGCGGATTTAGAAAGCTGTTCATTTATAAGTGTTAGTATCTTATTGCCCCAACTACAAAGAAAGTAAGAGGATATTGCTTGGTCAGGTACATCATAAAATCTTTCACTGATTGCCAAATAACAGCAAGATCCACGACATTGCAGTGCACTACAGCATGTCTGTTCATTGAGCAATTTCTGTGTTGTGCAAAATAACATAGTTGAAAAAGTTTAAGTTTTTTATTTCTTAAATCAAAACTACATGCAAGCAGGCAGATGAAATGGAAAACAATTCAGGTCTTTAAGTTTTGGACTAATATCTGAGAGTGTAAATAGAAGCTAAGAGAATATGTCAATAATTAATAATTTGACATGAACTATTTTTCTTTGGTAAGCAAAGAGTGGAGCAGTGCATGTTGATTTCATCTCTCTAATATCTGATCAAACAAAAAAAATGTGCACACATGCATACACACTTCTAATCAGTTTGGGATACATGGTTTAACCACGTACTATGAATTTTTTTTGTCTGTATACTATCTATTCACTAAGCTTTCCCTTTGCCCTAAGGTCATTTAATCTTAGTTTTCAAAACACTAGGGACAATTAAAACAAATAGTAGGAAGAGAAGATATTAATGTTTGAGTTGGATTAGTATGTACTTCTGAAATTAACTGTATCTTAATCAGATAGCCTTTGGATAGTTGACTGAAAACATTCCTTATCACCCTGGGAAACTTGAGCTGTCCTCTGCAAGCACATAAAAACAGTGGGCCTAAAGAAGAGGGACGCACAAAGCTGAGAAAAGAAACTGCTACAAGGTTTATGAACCCTAAGATAGTAACAAAATAGTAGATAGTAGTAAAGAAGATAGTAACAAAACCTGAAGGCATCTAATGTCTTTAACAGAGATTAGGCTTTTCTATAAAAATAATTAGAGGAAGTTATGAAAGTACCATGTGTACAAAAAGTGGACAAGATCGCAGAATTTTGGACCCCAAAATTCTGTCCATCTATGTCTACCATAGCCACATGTTAAGGTATATGAACCTGATGTGATTCTAGGAAACTAATGGCTTTTTTTATTCAGAAGCTGAACCAAGTCTTTTTGCCCTACAATGGGAACAGGGAGGATGGCAGGGTAAAGTAGAAAGAAATTCTTGAACACTTGATACTTCTCTAAACACACTTGCTAGAATCTGCTATGTGTGGCCTGCCTTGAAAGTTTTAACCAATTCTTTAAAGTGCAATGAAAGATGGCATGGTTGGGTCTTTGTTTTACACTGATCTGAAGATGGAGCTTCGTGATACAATTGCCTGAATTTTTTTGGGCCTTGAAAATGGAAAATAACTGTTAGGACTTGGATGTAGTTAGTGAAACGTGTAGTGCTAAGCATCTTTGAGCAGCTGAGCTCATTTCAGGCTGTTTACTACCTAAATGGGAAGGAAGATGGCAATACAAACTGTAATTTTTCAAGTTAAAAATGACCAAGAAATAATTTAAAAAAAACTCAAACTGTTTTTCTAAGTGACTTTCTATGACTGGCATAGCTTAACTTATCACTAAAGTGATAATGTTGTCTTAAGCTTTCTAATCTAGAAAGCTGTGCCAGTTTGCAAGGGCATGCAAAGAGTCAAATGGATCCATTCCCTTCCTGTTGTTCCTTTCATACTTTCCCAACAGATTTTCTCATTTTGAACATTTTTCTGGGAATTTACCTAAGTAACTCACTTTCTCCTTTTGCTGCTGTGTTCCCAGGATGCCAAGTGCATGACTTTGGAGATTTGGATTTCACTCAAGTTCCCAACGATGAACTGTACAACAACCTGGTTTTGTATCCCCGGTCGGTGGGTTTGGCCAGCCAGGTACTGGCTGATGCTGTCAGCAGAGCAGTAGCTGCTGGACACAGATGTGTGACTCTAGGAGGTGATCACAGGTGAGCTGAACTAAAAGCAAGTAGTGGTTCATGCTGCAGGTTGACATTTGAAGTCCAAGAATTTAATTAAAAATGAAGGGGACTTACAATTTGGGGTAATTTCCTCGCAATACCATAGGGTATGGGCTTTTAGGGTGGAACACAGAAGACAGTTACAAAAAGCTGACCTTCTAAGACAATTCTGCTTAGTTCTAGACTGGTCAGTGATCTGCAGACATACAAATGAGATTTTCCTGTTTGGGAAAGTTTGTGTCATCAGGTTTCTTTATAGCAACTGCTTTAGTTTCTTTACTGTTGAATGTTTTGTGACATATCTCTTTTGCCTATCAGCTCTTAGGATAGGTTTGTAATGCCTACACACAGACAATTTTGTTATAGATCTTATAACATGTGAATCTTTTTCCTCTTTTTCACTAACCTTTGGCCTGAGAATTGGTTGAAGAAGGTAGGGCATATAAGAATGAATTGTGGGTGGAGGTGTCATGACTAGAATGAAAAATGGGTGAATAGCATCATTTGGATCTAGAGCAGGTGAAAATTAAGAGTGTGGGAAGGCTGACAGCAGAGAGAGTGAACAGCTCTCTCTTAGCAGAGAGAACTAAGAGTATAGTCCCGTAGAGTTACTTGGGAGTCTCCTGGAATCATCATAGTGGCATGCCATGCAGTTTGTATGGGATGCGCCCTTAATTGTCACACCTGTCTGATGTATGGAAACATGACAATATGGCTGACTGAAGTTGCAGAGACTTTCCATCGTCCTTGCAGTTGTTCTGAAGGAGAAATGGTGACTAAAGACTTTGCTACTGTACTTCCAGCTTGGCACTTGGTTCCGTCAGTGGCCATGCACAGCAGTGCCCACACCTTGGAGTGATCTGGGTGGATGCACATGCTGATATCAACACGCCCCTCACAACTCAGTCTGGAAGCCTCCATGGACAACCTCTCTCATTTCTCTTGAGAGAGCTTCAAGATAAAGTAAGTATCCTGGTTGTACAGTTAGCCTGTATGGCATCCTCATAACATTTTACCATTTCCGGTGTGAGGTACTTTCTTACCTGCTGCAAATGGAGACCTTTTCTATCTGAGCACAACAAAAACCATGTATTGTTGTGTGTGTACATGTGCACATGCATGCACACATACACACAAGTGCCACACGCACATGTAAATATAGATACACACACTTAAAAACAAGAATGAGAAAAAGCTTTCCTGTATGTTGGCCCCCTTGTGGGCTGTACAGTGAGCCAGAGTTCACACCAGCTGTATGCAGCAGCTGACTGTGGTGTTGCTTCTACAGAATGAGTGGGGTTGTCGCCCAGGCTGGGCAACAGCAGCACTGCTACCAAATGAGCAGGAACCTCCCCCCAGGCCAGCCTGTGAGAGCTGTGCTGAGCTCACCTCCAGTGACAGCTGGTTCCTGTATATCTGGCACGCTGCTTTTGCTTAGTTTGGCTCCTCCATGTTTTGACAACCTTGGGGCCTGTCAAGGGCGGCTCCTGCACGATCTAGTCCCTGGTTTTGTCTCCACTGGCAAATATTACAAATCAGAACAGCTGTACCTGCTTACAGTGTGCTTTTAAAGAGATAGTCTTGGAAAGAGGTCAAAATTATCAAAAAGAGCTGTTTACTGGGACACATGGAATGTGCATGGTCTGTTTTTGCTGCTGTCAAGATGCTTAACAGTAGGTTGACCTGTGGCCTGTGAACCCTTTCTGGCTTGGCTGTATTGCCCTGTTCAGGAACCTACAGCATCTACTGAAGACGTGGCAGTGGCAGCCGAGGCCTTTGCAGTAGGGACTTAAATACAACAATCTGCTTCTGCTGAAGCTTAGGCTGGAAAGTGGGAGCAGGATCAGCAACTGCATGTTGAGAATGGATGCTGGAGCTGCAGAAAACCTGGCCACCTTATTCTGGCATTCTGCATTGCTAGTTATTACTGTTAGATTTCTCTTTTCTCTCTGATAAATTTTGGGGGTGCTGTGTTGCTGAAAGTATGCCTCTTCCAAACAAGATCAAGCATGTTTAAAATCTTTATGGCTACTAAAGATACTGCTGTGTGAGTACCTGTTCAGCATGGCAATACTGCAGTTGTATGGTAAAGCTCTTCTGCTCTTCTCCTGCAAATTCTTTTGAATTATTTCCATCCACAAGTCACTTGATGTTTTTACATACTTTCCTCTTTCTAGTAATTCTTGTGTGGTCTATACAATTTGGAATTCCCAAAGTAATGCAAAATTAATGGGGCTTTTTGGAATACTCCCAGAACACAAGGTTAATATAAAAGATTACTGTATTTCTAGTTTCTTGCCCATAAGTTTAAAGGGGGTGATTTTTGCAGGAGACAAAGGAAGAGCAAGAGAAAATTTTGTGAATTTCAGAGCTCACCTAAGGTGAACAGTTTGGTGAGAGAACAAAACTGTTCTCTGATAGCTGAAGAAGGAGGAGAAATTGGCTTCCTCTGTATTCATTACTGATCTCTGGTGTGCTGAGCTCCAGTTCTTGAGCAACACAGAAAAGCAGTAATTTTTTTTATATTTCCCCTTGACCCTCAACATGCTAAAAGATTACTATGAGCTTTCTGGGGTCAGTGGGGGAGCAGGACTCTTGCCAGTGGCAGCAGTAAACAAAGAGTAAGATTGGGCTATGCTTAGAGACAAGCTACTCAGGCATGGTGCTGGTTCTGTGTCACAAGTCCACCTAAATTCTAGCAGTCAGGATGCTGTGCAGAAGCATCTGACACAAGCCCCTTGACCTGGGTGTGCAGCTACACAAACATGTGTGCACTCAGGGGGTTTTCTTACCCTCTTTAGAGGAAGGAAAACCAACATATATCCTGCTGGTACACAAAGCTTCCACAACAATATAAATTTTTAAACAACTGTTTAGCGGTAGCAGAATGTGCCTCAGCTTCTCTGGTCAGTCATTTGCCAATAGTCTGCCCAATAGTTTGTCTGGCTAATACTTGCCTTGACTTTCTGGAGCAAACCATAATATGTGTGCACAAGTGCATGTGGCTCACTCTCTCACTCTCATGTAGTAGAGCAGCTAAGTCAATAATGGGACAAAAAAATTGACTGTCCTCCTTTCCTTACTGCTTCAGGGCTCCTGGAACCATTCAAACTCACAAACTGCTATTAATACCTTACCGTGAAAATGCCTGCACCTTTGGTTTTACTATCAGCAACTCCTTTTCTACTTCAACAAAGCAAAAACACAGCCTGCCAAAGGCAGTTAAGGCAGTTTTATTTCTGTACAGACAAAGAGGTGTACTTAAAATTGGCATTATTAAATCTGCTGAATCATTGATACTAGAGAGTATCTGACAATATTATCAATACTATGCTCAGTTTATGTTGTGGTGATGGGTTTTGCGGTTGTTCATTTTGGAAACCTGAATTATTTTTCACAGTGGTCTCCATTTATCCTTCTTCTGAATTCATTGCCCCAGAGTAACAAATACTTTCATAATCTGTGCCAGTTTAATCCCAATGTAACTAAATATAGCTATGTGTGGGTTAGCCTTCAAAAACAAATCCAATATTGTAACTAGAATAAAATTAGTAATTGAGAAGTATAAGAGGGAAACAAAGCCGCCTTGCTGTGTGACAGCTGTGTTGGCTGTAGCCATTTTCAGAGCTGAGAGAAGAGAAACATGAGTTAATTTAAAGCACTCCTAAACTTAGTAGATATTACTAACTGAATGATTTCTATATTGCATAACATGACTACTTAATTACCAAAGCTGAAAAATTGTGATCTCGTAATCTTACAGTTGCTGTCCTAGATCTGCTCTCTTCAGTTCTGTATTAAAACCAGTATGATGTAGCCCACTGTGGAGGCCCAACATCTTGTCCTGCTCTTTTTTTTTAATCTTTTTTGTTTTTAACTTCCTACTTTGAATTTGTCCATTCTTAATACTGGTTTTGGAACAAAGTTTCCATGACTTTGGTGGTTCTCCTAAAAACATACAGGTGCCTTGGTTTTCATTTTTCCATTTAAGCCTGATATACTGGGTAAGTTACGTATCACTGCCATTAAATGCACTGGGTAAGTGATCTGCATCTGGGTATCTAGTTTCTTATCATTCCCCCTTACACTCACTGATGATAATTACTTACTGCTTGTGGATTTGGGCTTTTTATTCCTCCTCCTCTTCAAATTGGAGAACGTAGAAGAGTTAAAAACTTCATTCATTAATATTCAACTCAGGTAAAGTTGTACCACTTTACCTGAGTTGAAAGTAAGGACTGATTACATCAGGATGCCACTCTCAAGTTTCTCTGTTTAGACAGAGAAAGGATGTTATAAATAAATACCAAGTTCTGAGGGAAGCATTAAATACAGTTTTGTTGTATATGTCATTAAACTAACGTAATACCAAACCATTGCTTTCAGGTACCACAACTTCCTGGCTTTTCCTGGGTAAAGCCCTGTCTTTCAGCATCTGATATTGTGTACATTGGTTTGAGGGATGTGGATCCTGCTGAATAGTAAGTTGGTTTAGATTAAAGGGTTTTTTGTAAAGGCTGAAATCATGAGCTTGAAGTCATGTTCGCAAGCATTGCTAGATTTAAGCTTAGACTGATAACAATTGTTTTTAAAAAAATATTTTAACAGCTATATTTTGAAGAAGTATGACATCCAGTATTTTTCCATGAGGGATATTGATCGCCTTGGAATTCGGAAAGTTATGGAAAGAACATTTGAACAACTGATGGGCAGGTAACAAACTATTATCTGATTTAAACTACTCTTGTTAAATATCTACTTTCCTGAAAGTTATTTAAGTGAAGGTCACTTGATGTCAGGCAGCTGTACAGAACTGTGACAATGTCCAGTAAATTGCAGTCTTTAGTCCTCGACTTCCACATCTTGAACTGCAACCATTTTGCAGTGTTTGACAAAAAGCTATGAGACAGGTTACATTAGTGAGTACAGTTGGGGCTCTGTTATATACATTTTGGTTCTGTTTTTTAAGGAATTCTGCATTTGTCTGCAGTTTGATGTTTGAATCAACTCAGAGTACAGGATACCCATTACACTTTAAAAAATAATATAGCAACTTGACAGTAACTTGAATTCAGCTGTTAGTTGTGAGGTGGAAGCATTTAAAGGTGTCCTCCTTAGACTGTGTTCACCTATGCTGTCCTGGTGGTGGCTGCTACTTTCAGTGCAGCTGGTAAAGTTCACTGTAACCACTCCCTTACTGCAGTTCACTACTGCTGTCTTTGCTAACCTTGTTCAAATTTGGGGAACCCAGTCAGGGAGCGTATCATGATAGTCTAGGAACAGGGAGAGGGTCAGAGTTAGGGTAACCTCTCACCACAGGTTAGGACCTGTGCTGCATGCTGTTGTTTTCTAAAGGTGTGCTCACCCTTCCTAGCTGCAGCTGTGCCAAGTAAAAAAGATGCTAATCCAGATGCTTCTCCCTACTGAGCATCTGCAGTAAGTTGGAAGGACACAGTCTACCACTTACATAACTCGTGACAAGCAGTGTCCAATTTATTAAGCTGTCATCAGTTGGCAGACTTGATATAGTAAGTAACTAACATTTTAGGTTAGAAATTATCCTTTATTTCTTCATCAACTAGGCTACATGGTATGGTTTGGAGGCAGTCTTCAACTATGGACCTGAAAAATGCTCATCTTGCTGAGCTGTTAGTGAAATCCTCAAGCTTGGTGCTTCCTCCATCCTAGATGCCATGCACATCAGTGGTTCAGCCTTTCACCCTGGCTTTCTGTACAAAAGGAGAAAAGGCTGGATTGTATCATACATTTCTCTACATTTTTCCAACTAAGGAGACAAATATCAGATAAAGTGGTTAGAACTAAAGTACTTATCTTCAACCAAATCACACCTGAGCAGATGCTCAGTCAAACTAGAAAGACGAATTTCTGTTTTCCCCATGTGTACTGAACTAAGAGATGTTTCAGAGTCCAAAGATATTTAAAAAAAAGAATCCTTCTAAATGTATATGAGACATGGTATAGGGCATAGGGGAAGCCTTTAGCATCACTGAGCTCAATGCCACTTTGCTGATCAGCCTGGACTGTAGCAAAATGCATGTAGAAAAAGTTAAGGTTCTGAGATTACTTTTCTTGTTTTATTCTGTCTCAGGAGACAGAGACCAATTCACCTGAGTTTTGACATTGATGCTTTTGATCCCTCACTGGCTCCAGCAACGGGGACTCCTGTTCTAGGTGGATTAACTTACAGAGAAGGCATGTACATCACAGAGGAAATACACAACACAGGTAGGAGCTGACCAGCAGTATGGGGCTAAGCAAGGACAGGACAAGATACATAGAGCTCATAGTGGTTGTTTTTCCTGCATAACTACATAAGATAAATGTAGTCAAAGCAAAGGTGCCTGTAAAGTCAATTCAGCCTTTAGTAAGGGTAAAAGCAGTCCTATGGTTGGGCAATACCCTTGGTGTTGGAAGCAGCTTAACCATCAACAACTTCAACTTACAAAAAGGAAATAAAATACACAATATATTAACAACTAATGTCAGAAATATGTAATACTCTCCCCTAATCCTAAAGACATGAGGTAAGATGTAAAAATGGGGATCCAGAATAAAAAAATGGGTGTGAACAATTTTAAACAGTCTGAAGTCCCATTCTAGGATTCAAGGCTAACAAATCAAGCTTTCACAAAATATACTGCAGCTGACTCGATATATGAGGACTTTTCATCTTATGCCATGGAGATTTTATTTAATGTGATTAAACAATGTTATTTGTAGTAAAAGAAGGAAATAAAAATCACAACCAGACACTAGAGTCAATAGAATCATGAATAGGATGGCAAAAGAATACTAGGTGAGATCTTTTTTATATCCCCTCATTTTTGGACTGGGAGAAAACAAATTAAAAAACATTCCTCTCATAAATGTGTATGGAACATCAAACTTAAGTTTCTGAATGCTAAAAGCATGAATGGATGAGGTAGTGGTGAAGTTAAAAACACAAACTGGCATCTGAGAACAATAACCTCATCCCTCACTTGAGAGCCAATCTTACTTGTCCAATGGGTAGAGTAGGTCACAAGCCCAAATACCAGACTTGCTGCAATGAATAAAAGGCTACTAAGGAGACCTTGCAGGATGTTGTACCCTTTGTCAGAGTAACAAAGCTGTGAATCACCTTCACAGGAATGCTTTCAGCTGTAGACATGGTTGAAGTCAATCCATTGCTTGGAGCTTCTCAAGAAGCAGTGAATGCAACTGCTAGTCTTGCAGTTGATGTGATAGCATCGTGCTTTGGGCAGACAAGAGAAGGAGCACACACCGCTTTTGATGGACTCCCAACACCCAGTTCTCCAGATGAATCTGACAGTGAAGAGCAAGTGAGGATTTAAGAACCCAAAGCAGTGGGTATATTGGACATTGCAGAGCTCGGCTGAGGCACTTCAGTGGATAGATTGTCAACACTTGGCAAATACTGTTAACTTCTCAATTTTTAAATAAACTAGCTTTTCCATTGATTGGTGGCTACTTTATTACATACCAAAATTTATTCATTTAGTTAAGTATATACAAAATGAGACAATAAAATATTTATTACCTTCTTATTAATCTTACCGGTAGTTCAAGTCTGTCTCTGCATTTTCCTTTTACTCCCATTCTCTGTCTTTTTAGTGTCATTACAGTTTCAGGTGAATGTGCTGTCTCACCACTCAGTTCAATCCTCAGACAATCAAAGGGAACAGACAGCCCATCCTGTTCCTCAACAGTGGAAAAGTTCATCTCCATCATGAAGATTCATCTGTTGCGGAAGAATCTGTAGTAGACCACACCTCCTAGGATGGCCAGTTCCAGGATGATGATAATTGACAGCAACAACTTATTAGTGGTTACTCTAGAATTAAAAAATAATTAAAAAAAAAATCAATAAAAATCCAAGATAGCTTCCCCCCTTGTTTATGAAAGTACATTCTAGATCTAGATCACCATCTTACCTTCTGTAAGTATGCTCCCTGTTTCAGCTAGACCCCACAGTGCTTTTCAAATAGTTCTTAACAAGCAGAAGGGGACAAAAAGCAATTTACTACTCATGTTTTCCTGGAAATTGTTTAAATCTTCTATTTCAACAGTAGCAGTTCTGTCCCTCTTCCCCTGCCCCACAAAAGATAGACAACTGCTCTATCTGTGCCTACTCATTCAATTAAGCAAAGAGGAAAACAACAACTGAAGTCTTTAATGTCACTTAGATGCTAAATCCTTTAATGTCACATAAAGTCACTTAAATGCTAAAACTCTCATTGTGGTGCATTCCCCTGGAACTATGTGGTTGAAATAAAACTAAAATATCAAAATAATAATGTACTTTTACTATTGAAAATTATACAGTTATCTTAACGTCCTTCAGCAATGGCTGTAAAGGAAAGCTTGTTAAGGGATAAGTACCTACTGGAAGTACAATCCATGAACTGGTTTGTAAGGCCAACTAAACAATATAGTTAAGAAACTGCAAATCCACTTAAGCATCCAAGGCTTTAGTCATCAAAATAGTATATGATGAGACTCAGAGTGTCTCATAGGATAGCCTAGCTACTCTAGGGCAGTGCTGTGGCCTAAACAGATTTGTCTGTGCCATCAGACATCTAACTCGCTTAATGCTGCAGTGATTTATGGCACGATTTTTCCAACCTGAATAAGGAGGAGTTGCACCTAAAGTCACCATTAGCAATTCACTGTAACTTGCTTGTGTCCTCACCACAGTTTGGATGGTTAAAGATTTCACATTATCCTGACTGAGCAGCATAATTCAGTAGTGTCCAAATGCCTGTAAGTAACTACCAGGGAGGAAAACACAAATTAGCATCTGCATGTGGGCACACATATTTACACATTCCCTAAAACCTCCCTGTGGTTCCAGCTGACACTTACACTTACTTTTTTTCCCTCTAAAACCAGCAGGCAATAATGCTCCGTGCAGCTGTCAGCCATGCTACTCACCTCCGGGACATCGAACGTAGAATCTTGCGACTCTTGCTCAAGTTCTCACTTGTATTCACCAACTAAGAAGAGACAGAAGTTACTTGAACAGGACAGAAATCAGCTGAACAAACATACACCAGCTCTATAAAAACGCACCTGAAAGCAGTTGGTGTTGAAATGTTGCAATTAATAATGGGACCAAGAATAACCATATACTCTCAAAATTCCGAGACAACATTGCTTTCTACACACAATACCATCTGGAATCATTGCCTCTTTTCTAAGGAGGAAGTAAGACTTCTGTGTATACTTTTCGTGATATACATACAAAGACATGCAACTTAGGACTTCTTTCTGCCCTTTTAGTTAATCTAGAAATATCAGAAATTAGTTCCTTTCATTAAATTTCATTTTGTTATTCTAGTTGAAATATAAGAAAATTATACTGACATGTTCCCTCCCAGCGCATATCAAACTGCTTTGAAATGCCTTTCAATTTCTAGCAAAGAAAGAACTGTGTTGCACTGTTAGGTCTAAGTGACCCAGTGGGTAGCAGCTCTAGCTGTTAATAGACGATCCATTTCAACTTTGTAATGCTCAGAAATTAACTGTCTAGTATATCCAGTCAGCTATTAAGAAGCATGTAATTAAGTGAGGTTATAGCCAACTAAAAAAGGTGTTGCCTCACAGACAGAGGCAGGATCCATGATGTGTGGTCTCCAGGTAAGATTTCGCTATTCCACTTCCAAACTTAGGGAAGTGAAGGGTAAGCTAGGTCTTACATCACAGACACCTGCCCTGCACAATTCCTCTGTGGTTTAAACTATTGCCCTCAACTGGAAAACTGGCCCTGCACCTATGCTACTTTGCACTGAGACAGACTGGATGAAGCTGGGAAGAAAGCTACCAAGTCCATTCAGAGCTTAGTAGATTTCCAGTCTTCACTATGAAAGAACAAACAAGAAGAAAGTCTGCTTCACTGAAATGTGTGGTTCACACAATTTAGCAACGCATTGCCTAAAAGGGTCACAATACAAGTCACAGACACAGTTTAGTGATGAACACAGCAGTGCTGGGTTAATGGCTGGACTTGATCTTTTCCAACCTAAACAATTCCATGCTTCTATGAGCAATCTGTTGATAGACTGAAATCCCTGAAGGACAGTAATATTTTTTATTAGAAAATGGACAAAAACTATACCCACAAATCTTAGGATAAATTTCCTTTCCTGCTCTCCAACCCAAATTTGGGAACAGGACAAATCAAATTCTGACTGAAATGACAGATGAAAAAGCTACAGGCTTTGTTGAAATGAGTAGAGAGAACTTCTAAGAAAAGGGGTATGCTTTTTGTTTTGGCTGAGTGTGCTTACTTGCCAAACTCAGCCATCCCCCTACAAGTCACTCACCTAAAAGCTTTACACTCAGGATCCCTTGTACACACAGAAATATCCATCAGCTTGTTACTTCAAAAATCAAATTTCCAGTTTTGCATATATGTGTAAACAAAACAAGTGAACTAGTTTTTGAAGCTTTCATAGTAGAAGCAGAGTCTTGAACCAAGGATGAGAACAGGCATCTTGTCTGACACCACTTTCTCCCTCCCTACAAATATTGGAACGATAGTAATTAAGTAATTATACTTCTACCAAATTTAATTTAATTACAAAAACTTGCTAAATTTGCTTCCTAGATCTAAACTTTTACTAGTAATCTAGTGGTGGGCAACTCCTCAGCAATTTTTTAATCTGTAATATTTTCAGTAATGCTATTTTTTTTTTAGCAGGTTTATAGGTCTGATATCTAATCTTGTACAGGCACAGCAGCAGACATTTGACCACCATGCTTTGGGCCTTTCCACAGTAATTATTTTCCTTTTAATGAGGACAGCACAGAAATGTGGCAGTCTGGATTTGGTCTGTAGAAACATCCCATTGGATTACTATGTCTAGGGGAGTGTCTCAGAGTAATTATTGGCATACAGTTCCCCCAAAGCTACCATCAGGTTGTTTCAAAGCAATGCCAACAGTTTCCCTGCTTACTCTGCTCTTGGTGCGTTCCAGCTGCTCCCGCTGCTCCCCAAGTTCTTCGATTATATCGGTGCCAATCTGATCTGTTTCAGCAGCAATTCGGTGCGAGCGCTCAATGCTCTGACTGGCTCGGTTCAGACTGTCTGTTCCCTGGAGAAGCAGCACCCTCTGTGACTGCAGATTAGTCTGAAAAATAATGTAAGATTAACTATTAAGCACAAAGACAGAAGTATTAGGCTTCTGACATTAAAAAGTTAGGATGTGACTCCATAGGCCATTCATTTGTATTAGCTGTACATGCTTCTCATGTTAAATGATGTGACCCAGTTCATTTTGACACAGCCTTATCTACATGGTAAGATTATGGCCAAAGCTGGTTAAATCTCAAAAAAAGATATGCTTCTAAAGACATAAAACAGTTACAAAAAACTGCCTTTGCAACAATTTACTTTTCCATCAAAGAACATTTACATGAAAATAGTATTTTTCTTTCCAGATGCTACCTTGTCCTTCCATTCATATCTCAAAGTCAGGCTTCTTTGTGAATTCACAGTTGGTTGCCAGGGAGATCAGTAAGAGTTTACAGTCAAAAGGATTAGAAACAAACAGCACTAACAGATGGACTGCTAAGTAACAAAGATCTTTTTCGTGCCAGTAGCCTGGGCTAGAGGATAAGGAATATTTGCTGACCTTGGGATCAAAGGGTAGCTCAAAATAAAGTACTTTCTTAAGCTTCAGAAAGCTACCACCCTGCTCTCAAGTTTTAGAGAATTCAGTCAAGAGGAATCAAATGCAAAAATTTACCAAGCTACCACAGAAGGAAATACCAAGGAAAAAGCCTCCCTCAAACCTTCCTTATCTAGGGCAGACAAAAAGCCTACCTCCGTGAACTTTCTGTACAGATCACAGCACTTTGAAAATAACAAGGAGATTCAGTCTCACTAGCTCAGATATCTCTATGCATATCTGGTAAACAAAGAAATTGGTATATTTCTTGCACTGTAGCAGCAAAACCACAGTGAAAAAAGCGCTAAGAGGATCAAGAGTTCTTATATTTTCTTAAAATTACTTACACTGAGATTGCTTAAAAGAGAATTTTACCAAAGAACCTATACAATACATGATTCACACTTTGATAGTTTTGGAGACTAAAACTAGGTAAGTTAACCTTTTTTTTTTTCAGTCAGTAGCATCACTTTTATGTTTTCACTTCTGTAGGGGATGATTAAATGAAGCATTTCAGTACAGAATGTTGTGCAAGTTACTAACTGCATGGCTTTCAGGGAGTTCCATTTTGATTATACTCCTATCTTTGTTTTAGAACAGCAAAACTCTCCTCTGAGTTCCAGGTGTTCTTTCTCCTGCCTGAGATATTTACGTTACATGCAGAGAGATATACAGGGAGTTATAAAAGCACAGAAGTGGTTTAAAGTAGAAAAACTGTAAACAATACATCTGCAATATTGTTTTTAAACAATCACAGCAAAGTTAAATAAAATTTATATCTAATCCTC